GGGCACAGCGTGGCCCCCCGATGGTTGAAGGCGATGCGATAGCAGTGGACTGCGCGCTCCCGCTTGGCCTCCCCCCCGGCCCCGAACGTCGCGCACCAAAGGTCACTCTTGCCTGGAGTCACTCTTGCAGCGGAGGTCCATGCCAAGAAGCACCCTGCGTGCCTCCAGGGTGCCCTGGGTTTCCTGGCTCCGCTGCGGAAGGCGTGACGTGCCCGCACCAAAAGTCAATGGACGTCCTGGGGTCCCAGGGTTGGGTTTCTTGTGGACGGTTTCTTGTGGTCGGGCCCCTACTGGAGGGTCACTCTTACGTGCAGCCGATCTTCTCCAGAGAGCAGGCCGTCGGCATCCGACTTCATGACGCCACCGGCCCGGGGCAGTTCCGGGCTGCGCTCCACGGCCGGTGCCGGCGCAGCGCGGCCGCCTGTGTTCGAGGAGGGCCCCCTCTCCTCCTCCTCCTCCTCCTCCTCCTCCTCCTCCTCCTCCTCCTCCTCCTCCTCCTCCTCCTCCTCCTCCTCCTCCTCCTCCTCCTCCTCCTCCTCCTCCTCCTCCTCCTCCTCCTCCTTCCTCCTCCTCCTCCTCCTCCTCCTCCTCCTCCTCCTCCTCCTCTCCTCCTCCTCCTCCTCCTCCTATCCTCCTCCTCCTCCTCCTCCTCCTCCTCCTCCTCCTCCTCTTCCTCCTCCTCCTCCTCCTCTTCCTCCTCCTCCTCCCTCACCTCCCCGCCGTCGCCGGGCGCCTCCTCCAGCCCCCCCTCGCAGGGTGGACCAATTCGCGTACCGCTTGCCACGCTTGTGCCTCTTCCGCCCGCGCAGTCGCTCTGCTGCCTCGCCGCCGACGCAGAAACTGTGCGCGGAGGCATCGTGACGGGAACAGCAAGCCCAAGTCGGAGGCATCCCCCCCAGATTCCTCGGAGGGGCGCTGGGCCCCCCCCTGGCGGCGCCGCCGGCGCTGCGCCCGTCACGCTCGCTCCGCGCGCCGATCCGAGACGTCCGCGGGGGCCTCCCAGAGCTCTTTGGTGATGTGCTTCGTTGGTCCTGCGGAGGGAGGAGGGAGGAGGGAGGAGGGGGGAGGGGGAGGGAGGAGGGAGGAGGGAGGAGGGGGAGGGAGGAGGAGGAGGAGGGGTGGAGGAGGGAGGAGCGGCGGCGGGGTGCGTGCTCCCTCAGGTGACCGCGCGTCCCTCGGGCTTCATGCACGACGCCCTCGTGAGGAACTGCGCGACCGCGGGCCGCTGGGCCGAGGCGGGCGGCCTGAGCGGTCGTCGGGGGCATCGCCGGGGAGGGCGGCCCAAGTCGTCCCGAGCGGCCTCCGGAGGCTTCAGTGATGATCCGAACGGCTCACCTCGTCGGTTTTGCTGGCTCGAAATCATTCTCTCGCTGCTGCGGCTCTCCGAGGCCCCAAGTCGTCCCGAAGGGCCTCCAGAGGGGCAACGTTTGGGTGGGGGGATCGGCCACCGATCGCCCTTCGATAGCCGCTAGGGCCCTGATAGCATCGCCGCCCTTGGGAGCGAGCGGTTTCGCCATCGGGGGCCTATCGCCGATCTGTCGGCGAAGCACCGGCGATTTCAGGTCGATGTTCCGTCCCCCCCTGAGCTGGCCCAGTCGTAACATTCCCCCATCACTGCTTGCTCGCACCCTTGCCTTTTTTGTTTTCTTTGGGCGCGTCGTCGCATCGGCCGGACGCTGCTCGACCCGCCGCTCCCGGCTGCTCACTGTTGAGGGCGTGCGTGCGCAATGCAATGCGCAAAGAGGTGCAACTCTGAGGTGCGATACGGTGCCGATCGTAGTGCAGCATAGCAGCGCGTAGCATGCGTTGCCTAGTAGATCATTGCACAGCAACTTCGTTCACTCTTGACCAGCGTAGTGCAAGCATGTTTGATCGTAGTGTAGCATGGGGTCGTATGCCGTAGCCTGGCTCAGCGCAGCATTGCTCTGCGTGACATGGCATATGATACGCTGACATTGCATAGCTTCGCTTATCATGTCATAATGCAGCGTGGGATTGCGCAGCCTGGGTATTGCGTAGCATCGCAAAGCATAGTTGTAGGCATCAAGTGGTCCGACATCACCGTGGCATGCCATAGAACTACCACAGGCTAGCAATGCGTTAGCATAGCACGCCATGCCATCGCACACCATGGTCTGCCATTGCGGAAATGGCATACCATTGAAAAGCATCGCAGATGCGCGAGGCACCAGTGCCGTGGCCGCGGAGAGCCAGCAAGCTGACAGCCACAGGACAGCGCCTCTGTTTTACAGTGCAAGTGGGAACCTTTCTGACAAGCCTAATGCTTACCTGCCTGGGACAATTCCTTATCTCGGAGGAAGACGATGCGACACTGGCGACACCGCGATCATCGGGGGGCCGTCTCCAGGGACTGGGTTCGCGATGCGTCCCCGGGCAGGGGTCAGGGGATGTCTCGAGGGAGAGGGGGTGACCACACCACCAGTAGGGCCCTCCCTTGTGCCTCGCGCTGGTGGTGTTAAGGCGGACATGTCCCCCTATGGGGACGATTGTTCAGTGTTTCCGTTGATTACTGTATATTGTTTGGGCTGCTTTCCATTTGTTCCTCCAAGATCCGCTTGTAGGAGGACATGCCCGACCGACATGCCCGACCTACTGGTGGTGCTGGTGGTGGTGTCGCTTTCCCTTGTTCCTAAAATCCGTATGACTGGCATTGCATTGTCTCAATGCCGATCTTCTCAAGCACTCCCGTCGCTTCTCATGGCGCCTTCCTGAAGTCGTCGTCGCCTTTGCGCTTGTCATCCCTAGGGGTGAGGATGAGCTCGAGGCTGGTGAAGTGTGGGAACGCTCAGAGCCGGATGAGCTGGAGCCCGAAAACGGGCCACCGTGTTCCCAAGCCAGGCTTGCGACCTGATGGACACGATGCGCGTGCGCCGCATGGAGATGGGGCCAGAGTGCTATTCGAAGGCCTCGGGCACCCTTCGCTGGCCCTCCGAAGGACGAGGACGGGGGGGTGGTGGAAGGAGGCGGAGGAGGAAGTAGGGGGAGACCGAGCAATGAGGAGGGATGAGCACGAGCGGGGGTGAGGGAAGAGGCGGAGGCGCTGAGAATCATGTATCCGTCGCCCTTGGCTCACGACCTCGCGCGCTTCGGCGCATAGCTCAGATAAGGGGGCGACTGCAGCTCGACAGCCGACCAGGACCATACGCGTCGAAGAAGGTACATTGCATTACCATTCATTTCTGGAGGTCCGCTCGGATTTCTTGGATCTTCGCTGGGGACCCCTGGCGGTGCCTCTGGCGCCGCCTCCAGCACGCTCCGCCTGCCAGGCAGGGTGGCCCAGCGCCAATCTGCGACATCCGCGCGGGCCTTCGAACGTCTACGAGTCCTCTCTTCGCTACTCTGGCTGGGTTGCCTGCAGCCCTGTGGCCCCCAAACAAGGGGGCGGCGGACGTTTCGCGCATGGCCGCCCTGGAGAGCCGCTGGCCGCTCGCCCTGCTGGCCCTCTTCGCCGCGCACCGCGGCGGTGCCTCTGCCGGGGAGGCTGCCGGGGCCCTCGCGGGCGCGCGGGCCCCGCGGGAGGATCAAAAGCTGGGCGAGGGCTGCTGAAACCGTGGCCTCTAAAACGGCGCTCCCGGAAGGAAAAACAACTTCCCGTAATGAGGCGCGGCACGCGAAACAGTCAACGGGCTTCTTCCCGGAAGGACGAAGACAACTTCCCGGAGGTCGCTTTTAGCAGCCACGGGTTTCGCAGCCCTTGCCCGGCTTCCAGGAGGAGCACAACCAGACACAGGCGTAGCATTTGCTTTGCTTCGAGCAACCCACACTTGGAAAAGCTAAAGCGCGCCTTGGTCACAAACCCAAGACAGACGCCCAATCCCAAAAACGCGAGGGCCAAGGCAGCACGCAGGCTCCTCGGGACTTAGGGGAGGGAGATTTTGGGGCTTAGGGTTTTACCAGGGTGACAACGACGAGCGCAAAACATACCCCGAAACCTTTGGCCGATCTTCGAATCCTCTGTGAATCCGCGATTTTGGGGTTGTGGATGTGTTTTTTTCTTGGTCACTTGGGCTTGGCGGCGGCGGTATGAAGTCGTTCCTCGTCGAAGGCACGGTGCCTGGCCTGGAGGCCGCCGCCTGGAGGCCGCCGCACGCAGGGTGTGCGAGGTGGGTCGGGAGGTCTTTTCTTGAAGCCTGGCAGCCTCGCCCTGTCGGGTGGGGGACGCACCCACGGGCGTGGCATAATTTGTGGAGCGCGCTCCGAATGTGAATGCGTGGCATGCGTGCGGGGGGAGCCAGGCCCCAAAAGGTAGGCGACGAATCCAGACCCCGAGGCCCGTCTTTTATGGCATCCAAGCAGTAGCGGTCTCCAGCCTGAAATCCGAAGTTGGTGCCCAATGGGCCACTACAGTGAACCTGTGGGGGGGGGGCTCTTGGAGCCTTCTTGGGGAGTCTTGGGGGGCTCCTGGGCCGTCTCGAGGCCATATCGGGGAGTCTTAGACCCCTCTCGAGAAGTCTCGGGGACCTCTTGGAACCGTCTTGCAGAGTCGGGGCGCTCCTGGGCCGTCTTCGGGCACTCTTGGACCATCGTTGGGGCCTCCTGACGCTCTTGTGCCGTCTTGCGAGCTTCTGCCGCTGGGAAGGTCGCGAGACCGTGCCCCGAGAGCGCCCAAGATCGCCCAGAATTGAGGGCTGCGGACCCGTCTGTTGAATAGTATCTGCAGCTTTCAACGCTCCAGACTGAGGCCTCCGTAGGGGCGCACGGACCACCCACTACGTGCCGAGGCACTGTGGCAGATCCAACTGCTTGAGGCAAGTCCGTTACCATGCCAGCGGAACACTCTGTGCGGCGACCCTTCGGTCACCGCCCAGAAGGCTTCCATGGGACACCTCTCGTGCCCACTTCTTGAGGCGTTCTCACTGGGTCAACTTAGGCCGTCGTGAGGCTGTCTTGGCCCCTCTTGGGTTTGGGGCCTCCCTCGGCCGTCTGGAGTGTCTCTTGGGGCCGTCGTGGGGCCATATTAGGACACTCTGGAGCCGTCTAAGGACCCTCGTAGGCCGTCCCGGGTCCCTGCGAGGCTCTCTTGTGCCAGTTTGGGGCTCCCTTGGGGCTGTCCTGGGCCTTCTAGGGGCTATCAGTGGAAGTTGACTGGTCTTCGACCGACGCGGGTTCAAATGAAAGCCATTGCGACAGAAGTCCTTAAACAGCTGTGCAGTTAGGATGTGTTTCACGATGTGGGTCACGACGGGGGGCCACGATGGGGAGGCACGATAGGGGGTATCGTGATAGGGATAGGGGTAGGCGTAGCGGTAGCAAGATGGACATAAGGGTTAGGGATACCGGGACGGGGGAGATCTAGCTGCCTGCGGCAAGTCGCGCCATTGCGCCAGCCCAGCATTGTGTGACGACTGTTCGAGGGGCACGTGAGGCCGGCACGTGGGACGTCGCGCCTCCAGGCTTGGGACAGCCGTGGTCGTGATGATGTGAGGGGGAGGAGGAGGAGGAGGAGGAGGAGGAGGAGGAGGAGGAGGAGGAGGAGGAGGAGGAGGAGGAGGAGGAGGAGCAGGACAAAAAGGAGGACGAAGGTCATTACATTTGACACCGTCCGTCTTCCCCAGCTGATTGGCTCTCACGCGAATCGTGGAGGACGTCGTTGGCCTGCCTTGGCCTCCTGTGAGGCAGTCGTTGTAGCTCCTTTGGGGCCCTCTGAGGCCGTCTCGATGCCCTCTGACGCCGTCTTGGGGCTCTCTTGGGCCCGATTGGAGCACACTTGGCCGTATGGCGCTTCTCTGGGGGCCGCCGTGGTACCGTCGCAGCGTCGTCTTGAGCCGTCGAAAGGGCCTGCCGTGACCGACGTTGGTCCCGCGGGAGGTTCTCTTCGGGCCGTCTTTGACCGTCTTGGATGCCTTCTGGGCCATCGTGGGGCCCTCTTGGGCAATCGTAGGTCCCTCTTGGGCCAGGAGGCGCGGCGGCAGATGGGGCTGGGGATGTAGGGACTGCAAGATAGAATCGGGATAAAAAGAGCACAGGGACGGGGGATAGGGATAGGGGATGGGGGTAGTGATAGGGCATACAGCATATAGGAAGCTATGGGGATAAGGGTTGATGGGGTAGAGATAGGGGCAGGGATCGGGAGACTGGAAAAGAGATACAGATAGGTTTAGGGACGGCACTGGGTGGTCACGGGAGGCAGCCGGAGGCTGCGGGGGGCAATTGCAGTCCACGGGAGGCCATGGGAGCAACGAGCTGCAGCGGGAAGCAACGGGAGGCCATGGGAGGCCACGGGAAATTACGGGAGACCACGGGAGGCATGGGGAGACGGCGTCGCCCGCCCGATTCAGGAGCCGCCGGCGCACCGATCAGCTTCATCGAGGCCGCTGATATAGAACCTCTACTGGCCAGCAAGGCGATCATGGAACGCCTTGCATTTTGTCACCGATCGCAGTTTTAGCGTCTCGAGTGCCTGCTCGAGCGCGTCTTGAGGGTGTGCTTGAGCCTGCAGGGGGCCTCTTGGGATTGTCTCTGCGTTTCCGCTGGACCTGTTATTTGTCTTGAGGCAGTGTTGGGCCAACTTGGGGGCCCTGAGAACGCCGTGGGGAGCTCCAGGGAGGCATCGGGCCACCCAGGGAGCCTCGGGAGACGGGTGCGATGGTCGCAGCTTGACCTTAGGAGAGGGGGCTCCTTGGACGACGTAGAGGGGGCTCCTCTACCAAGCCAGCTAGACAGCACGTTGCGCTCTATGTCGCTTTAGCGTGCCAGACTGGCGTGTTCTATTGGCTCCCTTCCCAGGTCCCCGAGGATGCCGTGGTTGGCTGCAGTGACCGCGCGATGCAGGCGCTTGCGAGCCAGGGCAGGTGGCAGGAGGCCTTCGAGCTGGCGGTCGAGCTGGGTCGACGCGGGGTCGAGGCGAGCGGCCCAAGACGCGAGTCGATGATCTCGGCCTGCGAGCGTGCTGGGCTGTGGCCAGAAGCGCTGCACCTGCTGGGCCGCTCTGGCTGGCGCGGCGTGTCCGCCCAGGCGGGCGCCCTGTCCAAGCGGCGCCGCAACGCGCTGTGCACGCTCGTGCGCGCCTGCGCGAGAGGGAGGCGGTGGCGGGCCTCCATCGAGCTGTTCTGCGGCTTCCGCAGCTCGGGCCTGCAGCCCGACACCTTCCACCACGGGGCCCTCATCCATGCCCTCGGCGGGCACCAGCCCGGCCGCTGGCGGTGGGCGCTGCACCTGCTGCGGCGGGCGGCGGGCGAGCAGCCGCGCGCAGGGGGCGGGCCAGGGGCGCCGGAGGAGGGCGGCCACGGCGGCGAGGCCGATCGGGACCTGGAGTGGGCGCGAAGCCAGGCCTCGGTGGCCTGCGCCCAGAGCCGCAGGTGGCGGCTCCCGGCGCAGCTGCTGGAGGAGGCGAGGGCCGCCGGCCTGGAGCCTAGCGTGGTCTCCTACACCGCCGCGCTGCGCGGCGTGCGCTGGGCGGGCGCGGCGTGGCCAGCCGCACTCGAGACGCTGCGGCACATGGAGCGGGACGCGGTGGCGGAAGACCTGCCAATACAGTAGCGTGGTCCCCCCCTATAACAGTTGCACCAAATGAGAAGCCAGCCAACCAGCAGGTGCCCCACGGAAGCGGTTTATCCCCCGATGGCCTTCGGGGCCCACAGAATGCCTGGGGTACCTCAGGAAATTCTAGACGCTTCGCCTGACCCCACCAGCCCATCCAGAAACGATGTCCAGAGGGATTGCCTCGATCAGGGAAGTGGGCAGCACACAGAGGAAGGGTCATGTGTATATATGTATACATGTATATTTATAAAATATACATACATATATATATATATATATATATATATAGTATACACCCATGATCTAGGGCTCCGTCGTCGTCGTCGTCTGTCCGTCCGTCCGTCCGTCCGTCCGTCCGTGGTCGTCGTCGTCGTCGTCGTCGTCGTTGTCGTCGTCGTCGTCGTCGGCGTCGGCGTCGGCGTCGGCGTCGGCGTCGGCGTCGGCGTCGGCGTCTTCGTCGGCGTCCCCCCCCCATCCCGTCTGGGGCGCGGGGGGGGGCGGGGGGCCCCGTGACCCATCCCATCCTGGGTGTGGGGGGGGGGGGCGTCCGCACGAAGCCCTGGATCATGGATCCGGCCGCCCTGAGACAGAGACGCCTCAGGCCCCCGGAGACCAGGACACAGATAAACCAGGACACGGAAAACCAAGGACACGACATCCTTTCCTGCAAAGTCACGTTTTTCAGCACCCGTGCATTTTTTTGCTGCACTGCAGGATTCGGGCGTGTGTTTGGGTTATGGGGGGTCTTGCAGGCTTGTGGGGCCTGTGTCTGGGTTTATTCTGGACATGCTGCAGTGCAGTATTTTGGTCGTGCCGCCGTTTGGAAAAACTGGTTTCGAGGGATATTGGATGTCTGGGTCCAGCGTGTCCGGGTCCGCGGGGCCCTGAACGCCCCGAGGCGGAAAGCTCGGCTTTGCCAGCTTGTTTTGCATCGCTGCTCTGGCTTCTGGGGACGAGGAAGCCGGGGAGTGGACCTGTGGAGGGTTTTGCAAAACGAAGGATTGCAAAAAAACGAAGGATTGCAAAAAAAACCTTCGAAGGATTGCAAACAAAACCCTTCGACGAAGGATTGCAAAAAAAAACCCTTCGACGAAGGTTTTTTTTGGCAATCCTTCGTGCAATCCTTCGTGCGGGCGTGCGCTCGTCGGCCCTCGCAGGTGGAAGTGGACGCCCTCGCGGCGGGCGAGCTCCGAGAGGCCTTGCGGCGGGCCGGTCGGGGGCCTGCCGGAGGGGCCCCGCCCGTCGCCCGGCCGCGGGGCCCCGAGGGCTGGGAGCGGTGGGCGAACCCGCCAAACCACACCAACCCAACCCGAAGGCTCAGATTTACCTTCGATTTCCGGTGGGGGGGCCTGTCCTCCTCTAGGAGAGATGCTCAGAACTAGTCAGAAAATAGTCTGGGGACGATCCTCGATGCTTTTCGCTTGTGCTTGAGCATGTCTTGCATCCTGTGTCCTTCTCTCACGACCCACCAAGCCACACCAACCCAACCCGAAGGCTCAGATTTACCCTCGATTTCTGGTGGGGGGGGGGGGTCGGGAAACATGGAAAAACACATGTGGAACCCTTACCCCCCCCCCCAACCCGAAAGTCGGGTCTTCGGGTTGGGTTGGGGTGGTCTGGTGGGTAGTCAGGAGCGGTGGGCGAACCCGCTGGCGGTGGCGCCGCTGCGGGTGGGGAGCCAGCCGCGGTGGCGCTGGCGCAGGGCCCAGCGGCGGCCCCTCTCGCAGTCGGCAAAAAACTCGTCGTGCCCCTCTCGCCGTCCTCGGCAGGATCCAGGGGCTCGGTCGTCGCCGAGCCCTCGCTGCAGCACCATGTGTGTCCCCCAGGGTCACCACGGCCTCGGCCTTCGCACCCGCCCTCTCGTCTGGGGATTCCTCTGTCGTTCTTCCCCTCAGGCTTTGAGTTTCGTGTCGGCCCGTTGCATCGAATAGGGCTGCCGCGCATATCCGTCTTCGCTAGGGGACGGGTGCAGCTCAGCGACATTCTTGCGGTGCATGGCTAGCGTTGCACAGTTGTTCAGTTGCGCATTGGGCCTTGGCTGGGGTGTGTTGGGGATGTTGGGGGTTTTGAGGGGGGCTGTGATCATCTTTGGGGGGGTCGTGGGGCCTTCTGGGGGAGAGCTGGGGCCTTCTTTGAGCTGCCATTGGTTTTTCTAGGGGCATGTCGGAACCGTTTTGGGTTGTCTTTGGTCCGTAGGCCTCCCGTGGGCACAACGAACCTCTGCAAAGCTGTATTGGGCAGCCACATGGCTGTCTGAATGCATTGTGGAGGCCAACCTGGGCTGACAGAATGGTCGGAGGTTGGGGGGTGAGATCGCAGTGGAACGGAGACCCCCAACCGGGAAATCGTTTCGTTTCGTTCGTGTCATGCGTGCGGGCGAGGCGAAGCTGCGTGGGCGCGCGAGAGGAATGAACCCGCCGCTGCTAGGGCGAAGTCAAGACAAATGCTTCTCCTCCGTCCGTCATTTCGGCGGTGGCCCTAGCGGTGTCCCGCGGTGGCCCGAGGTGTCCCGTGGTGTCCCTTGGTGTCCGCAGTTGCTAGGGCGAGGTCAAGACAAAGGCTTCTCCTCCGTTCGTCCGACCCTCGGTGGCCCGCGGTGTCCCTCGGTGTCCCGTGGTGTCCCGTGGTGTCCCAATGAGTGAGATCGATAATGACATCGATAGTGAGATTGATAGTGAGATCAATAGTGAGATCGATAGTGAGATCGATATTGGGATCGATGTGGTGCCCCGAGGTGTCCCGTGGTGTCCCAAAAAGTGAGATCGATAGTGAGATCCATAGTGAGATCGACAGGTGTCCCGTGGTGTCCCGTGGTGTCCCGTGGTTTCCCGTGGAGTGAGATCGATTGTGAGATCGATAGTGAGATCGATGTGGTGCCCCGAGGTGTCCCGTGGTGTCCCGTGGTGTCCCGTTGAGTGAGATCGATTGTGAGATCGAGGTGGTGCCCCGAGGTGTCCCGTGGTGTCCCAAAAAGTGAAATCAATAGTGAGATCGAATATGCGATCGACGGGTGTCCCGTGGTGTCCCGTGGTGTCCCGTTGAGTGCGATCGATAGTGAGATCGATATTGGGATCGATGTGGTGCCCCGAGGTGTCCCGTGGTGTCCTGTGGTGTCCCAAAAGGTGAGATCGATAGTGAGATCGACAGGTGTCCCGTGGTGTCCCGTGGTGTCCCGTGGTTTCCCGTTGAGTGAGATCGATAGTGAGATCGATATTGAGATCGACAGGTGTCCCGTGGTGTCCCGTGGTGTCCCGTGGTGTCCCGTTGAATGGGATCGATAGTGCGATCGATGTGTTGCCCCGAGGTGTTCCGTGGTGTCCCGTGGTGTCCCAAAAAGTGAAATCGATAATGAGGTCAAGATTGAGATCGAAAGGCGTCCCGTGGTTTCCCGTGGTGTCCCGTTGAGTGAGATCGATAGTGAGATCGATAGTGAGATCGGTGTGGTGTCCCGAGGTGTCCCGTTTTGTCCTATGGTGTCCCGTTGAGTGAGATCGATAGTGAGACCGATAGTGAGATCGAGAGGTGTCCCGCGGTTTCACGTGGTGTCCCGTGGTGGCCCGTCGTGTTCCGTGGTGTCCCGTTGGGTGAGATCGATGTTGAGATCGATAGTGAGATCGACAATTGTCCCGTGATGTCCCGTTGAGTGAGATCGATAGTGAGATCGATTGAGTCAGATGATGGTTTCCCCCCCTCTGCCCCCCTCCACAACCTCCTTGTCATCCGAAGTGTGGTTGTATGGTTGAATATTGAAACCAAGCACATGCCCAAATCATGGATCCCAACATATCGCGTTCGTCGTCGTCTGCTTGTTCCTCCCCCCTGTTCGTCACCTTTCAGCACGGACTGCCGCGAGCAAGAAGCGCGTGTAGATCCTACGTCGCTTTTTTTCCCCGGCATATGTGTGGCTCCGGGTGTCGAAATATCAAGAAGGTGCTAAGACTCTGAATCCTTTCAGTGCTAGTCGCCGTCACCGTTGCCATCCCTGTCGTTGGCGGCGTCTCCAGCGTCGTTGGCATCGTCGGCGTCTTCATCGCCCCCCTTCGCCGCCTTCGTACTACGCCTTCTCTTCCTCGCCACCTCGCCGTAGCCATTTACGCTCAAGGCGATGTTTGGGAATCTTGGAACCATGCTGAGACCTCGGGCTTCCCTGCTGCTGCCGCCTTAAGAGCCGCCCCAACAGGGCCGTTGGGGAAGGCGGCGATGACCGGCGTGGACGACGGTGTGGTGCAGCAGACCTCGGTGGTGCACTTCCCAGGGCTGCTCTCAGACGAGGAGCTGGAGCAGGTGAGGATGTGCCAGCGCGCGCAGCTGGAGAGCGGGATCAGGCCGCAGCAGCACCCACACAAGCGCCGCACATTCCTGAGCGGCGGAGGCGCCGCTGGCGGTGGCCTGCGGGGCTTGGTACCCAGCGTCTTCGCGAAGCTCTCGGGCGCCGTCGTCCGGGCGAAATCCCTCGGCGGCTGGGGCGAGCAGACAGGCGGGGCTCTCACCGACTCCGACTTCAGTGGCCTCGAGCTCCGCGTGGCGGAGTTCTGGGAGTACCAGCCCGGCGGGGGGCTTGTCGACGACTACCATTACGACGACGGCAGCACTGCGACCATCGTCTGCCTCGTGAACGATCGCTCGGAGTTCACGGGCGGGGTATTGCGAACGTTTGAGCCCACTGGGACACACGCTGAGCATCACATGGAACAGGGAGACGCCGTGTGCTTCCTCTCTCACAAGTACCACAACGTGACGCCAGTGGCGTCAGGGCAGCGGCAAACACTGGTTCTGGAGTTCTGGAAGGCCCGTGAGGTCACAAGCGGGACGGCGGATCCGCGGATGTCCTCGGACCAGGACTCGGGTTTTGTCGGTTGCTCCGACCTGAGCTCGGCGCAGAAAGCCTTCGGCAACTGCGAGAGAAGACTGGAGTTCGTCGGCGTCTCCCCGAGCGACACACTGAAGTCCTGTCTGGATTTCGTCGAGGAGTTGTTGGCCTCAGATCCTCACTGCAG